CCCTGATTTAGTCACTTTCTATCAAGCCACCTCCTGAGGACCTTATTCCTGTTAGTATTTTTGTAGTTACCCACCATCAAACCTCAGCTGTCTTGGCATCCTTTCCTTCATTCTTCTAGCCAATCATGTCTCCAAATCTTGTAAACTCGTCCTTTGAGATGCCTCTGGCACCCACCCTATTAGTATTTCTCTAATCTACAATAGTTAAACCCGTATCAGTTCATGCGTGGATTATTGCAATGGCCTCATTTACTAGTCCTCTCGCTTCCCATTCTTTGTCCATTCTATGTGCTGCCAGTAGATAGTTTTAAACTGCTTTCATCTTATTTTTGAAAACTCCTCCAGAGCTCTACATTGCCTGAAGTGTCCTGTTCTCATCACACCTAGCTCACTCCTAGTCCTTCAAACATCATTTCCTCTGTAAAACCTCACAGAAAACGCCAGGTTTGATGTGGAGACTCCTCCTTTGTGCCACGCTGGTGTCCGATCCACGTGCACCTGTGTGACTGACAGTAAGGGTTGGAAGCCCTGTGCAGCTCCCCTCGACCCCCAGTGCCTGCCCTGGCCTCAGGCACTCTGTTTGGTGCTCAGCAGTTTGCTGAGTGGCATCCAGTGCTCAACACCTGTGCTGTTCACACAGCCTGGCCTTGGAGTAGAAACTCACAATGGAGCACGGTCCTATTTACATTTGACATGAATCCTCTCACTTTAGATCAGGTGATTTATACAAAGTTATCCCAGCTCATGCCTGTTTCTCTACTTTCTGCTTGTCAATGCTATTCTGCTTGGAATAGCCTTCAGTTCAATGAACATTCCAACATTCTGCTATTTGTTGGGGATAAAAGATGAATGAGGCATAGTCAAGCCCTGACAGGGATAACAGGGACTAACAAAGAAAACTAAATTACAGAAAAGCATACACAATGAAAAGGTATTATAGAGACACGGTAAAAGTGAATGGATTGAACAGAAATGTTGAGAGTCCATATTCTATAGCAGATGAAACTGGAGTGTACAGATGCAATCCAATAAAGTGACAAGTGTACAAACATGAAAGAAAACAAGGGGAAATGGATCTGGTGGAACCCACCTTTCTGCATGCTGAAATCTGAATGGACATGGAAGACTTGACTTGCTGGAATGTCCAGCAATTTATTACTGAACTGCACATGGCACAGCATAAGGGTCTCCGGAAGAAGGACTGTGGTGATGGCCAGGGCCTGACTTGGGGTGCAGGATCCTAATAAGCAGAACAAGGAGGTTGGTTCTCTGGATTTCCTGCCATCTNGGATTCCATTGGTGACACTCAAATACTGCTGATACTGTGGGTGTTGCCTGTGTTCATAATGAGTTGATTTAGAATCACTGAACTTGACAGGTTGGAGTCGAACACTAGCTAATCGTGGGACCTTGAACATCTGTTCCTCAGCTCTTCACAATGGAAAAAAACACCTACCCCCTCGAGTTATGAGAAGTGCATATAAATATGCCTAGGATATTTATTGATCAGTACGTTCCAAGTGCTCATAAACAAAAACTTTTCTCCCACTGGGAGATATACTAGGGTTCAGCCTGATTCATTCCCAATAATCAAGTACTGTTTCCCTTGAGGGATGGGCAAGTGGGAGTGACAACTACAAGGAGGTTGGTTCTCTGGATTTCCTGCCATCTCCATAACGCTTCCCATCCCACCCAAACGAGGCACTGTTCCTAAACTGGGTAATGCCTAGACTTGGGACTTGGGGCAGCTAAGTCCTGGTCCAGGGTTACCACCATTTGCCCTTTGCCTGATGCAAAAAGCTCTGCTAAATAGTAATGAAGAAAAGGAAACATTCTCAAGAGGTTTGGTAAGTGGCACAGTTATGAAGCCAACAGGCTCACCTTAAACTAACATGACTATTCTTAAATATATGTCAAGTATAATATCTAGTGATAAAAAAGCTTCCTGAAGGTTATACTTCGTGTAGGCTTGGAAAATGAATCCATGCCCCAGCTAGTTTGAGCAGTCTCGGTCAGGTGGCTGAATGCTTCCCGTTAAGCTGAGTAATACATGTCTTCTTTCCTCCTCTAGATTAAAAGTAGGAGCCCCCACTGCTCACCTGCATCAGACTTCTTCATAGCGCTTACTAGCACAGCCTCACGTTGACTGGTGAGCACACAGGAAATGTTGATGAAAACAGGAGATGTCATCTGCTGGAGGGAAGTGAAGTTGACCACTCTTACGGGGTAGATGGCGAGGCCAGGTGTACGGGAAGAGCGCCGATGGCCAGAGACCACTAGAACGGGGGAGCTGGGGAAGACCTTGGAGAAAAGATAAAATGGAACTTGTTTGAAAGAAAAATCAACAACACATTACAATCCTTTTTTTTTATTTTTTAAAGATTTTATTGGGGAATTGGAGGAGGGGAACAG